CATCGTCGATCCTCACCGAACTCAAGTCCTGGAACGTGCACGGACACCCGCACCAAGGAGACCAGCCTCACGCTGCACAAGAGGTGGGACCGCTCGTGGCGCGTGGCTGCCGCCTGTGACTGCGCGCGCAATACGTTCTGGCGGGTGGCTCGCTTCCTTTCGTCTGGGATTTCTCTTTCCCTGGAAGACCTGCTGTGACAAAGGCCATGTCGTGCCTGTTATTTTGTGAATGGTTGCCACCTACAAGCTACTGTCGCTGTGGCAATGATCAGCTTTGCACTGAATGAGTGCATTTTTAAGCAACTGATTAAGTATAAGGAAGTTAATGTTGGCATGAACTTGCCCTTACCTCTCTTCATTGATGGACAAAATGCTTTTACTAGGACTGTCATTTGCAAGAGAATCGACAGAAAGGCATCAGGGGACATAATGTGGATATAAACAGGGCACAAGCTGCGGCCGCGAGCGCTAACAATGAGATATTTCGCCTGTAGGCTCTGTATTTGGCGTACAAATATGACTGTGTTGGCATTGGAACAATATTTAAACTGGCACTTTCTAAAAGCTGATGCTGCAGCTGCCCTCGCATGTAAAAGTATTTAGAACCCGAGTACATATGTGTAATGCAGGACTGCTTGTGCATACTACAGCCAAGCTTTATTTTCTCTCTTGTATGCCATGTTGCCACACTAAAGCGTGATTACATTGCGGACTGTTTTCGCGCGGATGGGACTGCTTGTCACAGTGCCATCTACCGACATCACGTGGTGTGGCCAATAGGAAGAACACCACTGTTCTCATATGGTGTCGCCAGATCGTTTACCAGCCAGTTGGTTGGCAACGGTTCGTGACCCGTTTGTGTCTGCAGCCGGCCTTCCTTACGCCATCGTGCATGGCAGCTGTTCCAAAACTGGCGTGTATGGTGCTCCTCAGATGCGCATCCGTATTCATGGCGCGCCATTTTCCAGACTGTCGCTGATACTGAACGAGGCCGTGGACGAGTGCAGCGAGTTCATCTGCGAGGACGTGCTTGGGCCTGGTGAAATTCGTGGACGAGTTCGAGCGTAAGGTCCGCATGGCCGAGGCCGACCTGCGCTCCAAGTTCTTGCGGACGCGGCGCGGAACGGACGGCGGCGGGTGACGGCGGCGATGGCGGCGGCGGCGGGGGAGGCGGACAGCCGGAACGATGATGTCAACACCATGGTGGTGGAGCCTCAGCAATCCGTCCGACAACGACCAGGTGGGCGGCGTCACCGGACCCGGCACTGAGGAAAGGTGCGGTAACACCGCCGGTCTGGATAGGACCTCGAGCAAACACCCGGAGAGGCGGCCGGAGCGGCAGCCAATGGTAGACCGGCCTCCTTCCAGGCCCTCTGCTGGCCGCACAGGTCTCTCAGGGCGCCCGCTTATCTCAGCCACAACCGTGCCATGTTAGCACAATTTTGGTGTGGAGGAGCCTCTGGCTGCGGCGCCTGTTCTTTACGTGTGGAGCGGCGAGACATGCCCTCAGTGCTGACCGTTGGACGACCGCAGGAGGACGAGGCGGCCGAGGACGACTCGCCGGTCGGCTCGGAGGCCGGCGATGACTCGGCCGCGGCCGGCGTCTCGCAGGACGCGCCCTTCCCCTGCAGCGTGTGCCTGAAGGTCGTTCTCGACCAAGTACGGCCTGTCCATCCACCAGCGGTGCACTAGTGAGTAAGGCGGCGGCCCTGCCGCACCAGTGCCAGCGGAAGATGTCAGGGAGACAGTGGTGCGGCGGAGGACGTTCGAAACCAGCGTTCTGAGTGGGGAATGGTGGAGCTGTTTCTTATTTAGGCAGTGGTGGTGTCCACTGTTATATAACGTGCTCCACGATCAGTACCCGTGCCACGATGAGGGCATGCAACGTAGAAGTCTGAAAAACTGCTGGAGCGCTCTCTGTTTTGTATTGCGCGTAACATTAGGCAAACGGGAGAGGTTGCGGACCTCGTCTGCCTGTGCCAGGCCCATGCCCAGTCTGTCACGTGGTGTGTGACTCGGGCCCGCTCCCACTCCGTCACGTGGTGTGTGACCCGAGTCTGTGCCTATCCCGTCACGTATGTGACCCCGGCCGGGTCTGCCCGCAGTGACGCCAAGAGCAACGTGTGCGAGTTCTGCAACAAGGCATACCCGACGCGCGCCAAGCTGAATGAAGCACGTGCGCGCGCACACGGCCGAGCGCAAGTTCCAGTGTGTCGAGTGCGGCAAGCTGTTCCGTGCTCAGGATCAGCTGGCCGTGGCACGCCAAGTTCCATAGCGGCGAGCGGGGCGCACGTGTGCGACTACTGTGGCAAGGGGTGAGTGCCACCGGCCGCCGGCGCCGTCTGCCACAGCTGACCTAGCCAGGCTAGACGCTCGGCGTCGGCGCCGGGTTCACGCGAGGGTTGTGTAGGAAACAGGACGCTGTTTAGAGGACCCGGGTTTTGTTTTGCGTGCAGTGATTACATGTTCGTTTTGATCCGGCGTACCTCCCAAGCTATGTATTTCGTTGGACCGGTACGTTGAAAAGGTTGCCATTTGCTTTTTCACTTGCTTGTGCGTTGCTGCTCCTTGGGTTGGAATAGTGAGCAAGCCCTTAAGCTTCCGATTTTCGGCATTATGAGTTCTTAAGCTGGTAACAATCGACATACAAGTATAGTAATACCATGAGGTACTGGTTAAACGAAGAGATCAAATAGCATTTCGAAGGGAACCGCAAATGCTTCCAGTAGTGTTCATTGTGCTCAGGTGACTCATGACTGTGAACACCGCCCGACGTTGGCGACTCGTGATCGTGAACATTGACTGACGTTGGTGACTCATAACCGTGAGCGTTGCCCGACGTTGTTGACTCGTGATCGTGAACACCGCCTGGTGTTGGTGACCCGTGACCGCGATCACTACCTGACGTTGGTGACTCGTGACCGTGATCACTGCCTACCGCTGGTGACTCGTGACCGCGATCACTACTTGACGTTGGCGACTCGTGACCGAACACTGATCCGTTAGCGACTCGTGATCGTGAACACTGCCTGACGTTGGTGACCCGTGATCGTGAACACTGCCTGACGTTGGTGGCTTGTGACCGCGATCACTGCCTGACGTTGGTGACCCGTGACCGCGATCACTGCCTGACGTTGGTGGCTTGTGACCGTGAGCACTGCCTGACGTCGGTGGCTTGTGACCGTGAGCACTGCCTGACGTCGGTGACTCGCGACCGCGATCACTACCTGACGTTGGTGGCTTGTGACCGTAAACACTGACACGTTGGCGACTCGTGGCCGTAGTCACTGCCTGACGTTGGTGACTCATAACCGTGATCACTGGCTGACGCTGGTTACTCGTGATCGTGATTACCGACTGACGTGGACTATTGTTTAAAACATTCGTTAAGCATCTTGGTATATTGAAATGTCAGTTATTTCCAGCATCAGAACTCGAAACGCTGTGTGACCTGTAAATCCGAAGAGGCTCCAGTTTTCTGGCTGGGCCACACACATAATGTCCAAAGGAGATCAACCTTGATTTGCGATACGCCGTTGAAACAACTTTACCTTATTGTTGAGTTGGACTTGAGCCTGTGATTTCCTGTACACCCGCCATCAAACAGCGGCAACGCTTAATGTTAGACGCTGGTCCTTTTCAGATTCGTGCAAGTGGGTGATCTCAACAAGCACCACCGTATTCACTCTGGTGAAAAGCCCTTCTCGTGTTTGGAGTGCGGCAAATGCTTCAAGCGCTCTGACGAGTTGAAGGTGGGTTTATGTGTGACGTTGCTGAGCGCTGAGTCTGTCTCAGGTCGGAGAGCTCAAGCTGCGGCAGTCCGAGAGTGGGTCGTGAAATGTGGGACTACTGAGGATGTGCTCGTTTGTAGTTTTAATTTCAGGTTCCAGGATCAGGCAAGCGGAGTGTAGATAACCAAGAATGTTTATATGTATATGGCAGATGGGTCTAAAACAGAACGAGGCACTTGTCTTAACTAACTGCAGGTCCGAATCTGTTTGATCGCACGGGTGATATTCCATTTTAGTCACAAGTCTGACATGAATGCTGTCGTTTTCGTGCAATACCCGCGCAGTGCTGTTGACTGATCCATCCGGCAAAATATGATGGTCCGCCACTAAGAATGGGGGGCGGAGTATTGTTCAGGGTGCTATAATGTATGACTGACAATGGCCGACAGATCCGGAGGCTGCTGCTCCGACGCGCCGTATTTTCCCAGCCTATTCTGGTGTCCGACATATGGCGTGTGTCAAAACTTATAGTCGTATGACGTTTTAACAACTATCAGCGGCTGAAAACTTGTCAGCGTTTGGATGCAACTCATCCTCACACAGGGCGTCCCCCCACTGGCTCACAGTCGAGGAGAACGGTAAGGCGCGTGGTCTTGTGTGGCCCTGAGCCGACCCGACCTGACCTGACCTCCACACGTGACCCCGCACCGCAGAACCACCAGCGCTTCCACACGGGTGAGCGGCCGTACAACTGCGAGTTCTGCGGCAAGATGTTCACACAGAGCGGCGACCTGCGGCGGCACCGGCGTATCCACACGGGCGAAGAGCCCTACTCGTGCGAGGTACGGCGGCCGGCCGGGGCAGCCCCTCCGCGTCCCGGGCCGTGGCGTGGGCCCGTAGACGGGCGGGGCCGGAGTGGCGGTCAGCGCTGGCAGCCCTGTAGCGGCGATGTCTGGCGCCGGCTGTTGCGATGTGCCAGTCACGATTGGACTGTGTTATGACCGGCGTGGCGTGATTCGGATGACGCCGTGAGTGTATCGGTATCAGGTCAGAGTTGGACTGTGTTATGACCGGCGTGGCGTGATTCGGATGACGCCGTGAGTGTATCGGTATCGGGTCAAAGTTGGATTGTGCCGTGTGTGCCGGCCTCTGCTGCTGTGTCAATGTGAGGAGTCTGAGCCGTGGGAGGGCGCCGCCCCGTATTTGTTTTGCCGTGGCGGTCGCCAGGGACTTTGACCCCGGCTAAGTCTCCCCTGCCGTGCCGGCGGCGGCATTACCGGACCGTGCCGGGCCGGGCCGGGGAAGGGGGGGGGGGGGGGCTGGGCACCCGGCTCAGTCTGAGCAGCGGGTAGCAACAACGCTTGTCCCTGTTGGCAGTTCTGCGGCGTCCGGTTCCGGCGAACGGACCAGCTGCGGGCGCACGTGGGCATCCACACGGGCGAGAAGGGCCACATGTGCAGCCTGTGTGGCCGCGGCTTCTCCTCGTCCGAGCTTCTGGCCAAGCACACCGTCTCGCACACGGGCGTGCGGCCACACGCCTGCCCGCACGCCGGCTGCGCCAAGTCCTTCTTCCAGGCGGAAGATCTGGCCAAGCACAGTCTGGTGCACAGCGGCGTGAAGCCGCACGCCTGCGAGTTCTGCACCAAGCGCTTCGTGCGCGAGGACTCGCTCAAGGTGCACCGGCGCGTGCACACGGGCGAGCGGCCGTTCTGCTGCGAGGACTGCGGCCGCATGTTCATCTCGCAGAGCTACCTGAACTCGCACCGACGCATCATGCACACCAACGAGAAGCCGCACCGCTGCCAGACGTGCGGCAAGTGCTTCCTCACGCGGACCTTGCTCACCGTGCACACGCGCTACCACACGGGCGAGCGGCCGTACCAGTGCGACCAGTGCAGCAAGTCCTACATCCAGCAGGGCGACCTGCAGAACCACCTGCGCACGCACACCGGCGAGCGGCCGTACGTCTGCAAGGAGTGCGGCAAGGCGTTCGCCTCGCGCTCCCAGATGGGCGCGCACGGTCGGCGCGTGCACGGCGGCGCGCGGGCTTTCGCCTGCGAACAGTGCGGCAAGGAGTTCGGCCAGGCGCACGAGCTGCGCGCGCATGAGCGGCAGCACGCGGACGTAGCGCGACCGTTCGGCTGCGCGTTGTGCGGCAAGACGTTCGCGCAGCAGGGCTTCCTGCGCAAGCACCAGCTGACACACGGCGAGCAGCCGGCGCCGGCCGTCGAGCCGATGGTGGAGCTGTTCGTGATGGACCTGCCGGTGGCCGGCCAGTCGGCGGACGGGCAGCAGCTGCTGAGCATGTCGGCGCACGGCGCGCTGCAGCTGCCCGCCAGCCAGCAGCAGCAGCACCCGCAGCTGCAGCAGCAGCAGCAGCAGCAGCAGGCGGCGCTGCTGGAGCAGGCCGGTGCGCAGCTGGCGCCACACTGACCGAGCCCTCGGTGCCGGTCGGGCCGGCGACGATGGCGGTGTGCGCTGCGGTCCTACTGTGGACGGCGGGGCGCCACCTCTCAGGGGCGGCCAGCGGCGGCGCTGTGCGCGCGCCGCGGTCACCGCCCAGCCAGCGTCGCGGTCACCGCCAGCCCGTGTCGCGGTCACCGCCAGCCAGCGTCGCGGTCACCGACAGCCTGCGTCGCGGTCACCGCCAGCCCGTGTCGCGGTCACCGCCAGCCAGCGTCGCGGTCACCGCCAGCCAGCGTCGCGGTCACCGCCAGCCCGTGTCGCGGTCACCGACAGGTCGCGTCGCGGTCGCCGCCAGCCGGTGGCCGAGGCGGTGATGTTTTCCGTGACGCGCGTCGCGGAGTGTGGTGAACGGGCGGACGTGCAGCTGGTTCATTTCGTCATCCCGGACGGTGTGCGTCCGGTCAGTGCTCCGTACAAGCGTGGGTGGCGCCACGGATCACTGGCATCGCACAGCTTCGCACTCACAATCATATCGTATCCGTTGCGACGTCTGTGCATCACAGCGAATGTCATTTGTTGTTATTGTAGACATCGTAGTGAGCATGCGAACTCGGTGACGGCTATGCAGACACTGTTGGTCCTCAATTTCAGCTGTGTTGTGATTTGACCCCTTACTTGTGTTAAGTGTGATGTTTTCCTTAAACTTTGGAGGAATAATAAGGTGTACTATTTGACTGGGTATGTTGGAGACAAAATTATTCTCTTGATGCGCAACAAAAGTAAGTAATGACGCCTGACGCAAGTCGAATGCATCAGCGCACGGCACCTATTGTCAGATGGGTTGGAGGGCCCATGGCGCTCACCTCTGAGGGGAACGAGGCCCCTTTGAACCGCTTTCTGTGCCTCAGACCCCTGGCTGTTGTGGCCCCGCCCCTGTGAGCAGTGCCTCGCCTGCAGGCTCTTGCCGCTCTAGCGATGCACGTGGAGTTCATCGGCTCAGGAAAGATGAGAGTTCCATGACGAGCAAGGCTCTGTCCTCGAAGGAGCCACGATATAGAGAAGTTCGCGCCCCAGAGGTCTCTCGCGGGGACTATTCGCCGCTAGTACCACTGGCACTTCGAGTAGATAGGGCCAGGGCTCCGGAACATCCGTCTCCGACCATCCTAACGGCTCCCTGTGCTCTCGTGCTGATGGTTGTTGGCATGGCCAGGCTGACCGTTCTGCATTATTCGGTGGCAATTGGGGAGGTCCGGACGTGGTCGTCCGAAAATAGACCTTTCTCTAGCTGTGCCGCCCCTGTTGGGCAGAGCTGTCACGCAGTCTTCATTTGGGGTGTTCGCTCCCTTCTTTACATCCGCCTTTGTTGCCCGTCGCATGGAAACAGTTGGCCGTCTCCGAGGGCCTGGTGAGCTCGTAAATGTCTGTAGGAGGGATCGCAACGGCACCGCTCCCTCCGATCTGATAGGCCAGTAGCCCTCGCGTCCCCACAGTATTGTTTAGATAGGTCGCGGATTTCCGTGTATTTTCCGTGTGTATGTTATGCCGAGTCATCGTAAGACTGCTAGCGGGCCTCCAAGGAAGCGCGAGCCATGGGTGTAAATGCTTATGATTTATCGGCACCGGGTAGGACTTCCGGTAAGCAACCATTCGCCGTTGCGCCCCAGGCCGGTCTGGCGTGCGGTTCAGCAGCACGCCTCGTGGGCAGCCCGTCGGGTTGTATGACACTTTTCGTCCGCGTTCAAGGCTCAGCGGCGTTTGCGTGCAGCAGTGGCGCCAGCTGACCGTGCGAATGCATGGATTTCTCTCCATCTGTCACCTGGTGTCAGGGGGGGGGGGGGAGGCGTACCCCCGCCATTGGGACAGACCGTTTTGGCACGGACCGGAACGGTTATTAAGATCCAAAAGTGCTCCAAGCGTTGGGGGAGGGGAAAATGCGTGCTGAGGGCCGAAAGGGCGCCTGTTTGGTCTGCAAATATGTTCCGAAGTATACATAGAAGGTATCCCGTGAAGAACAAAGGGACGTCATAATCCCCTGGACTGGAAGGGCGCCCTCCGGAGACGATACGCCCCGAGGGCAAGAAGAACGCTGCAAAGAATAGGCGGGTGCGTCAACCATAGTCAATCATAGAGGGGCGCCGGCCCCCCCCCCCCCCCCCCAACCGGCAAAGATGGTCCTGCGGTCTGAAAATATGCTTCGAAGGCTAGAAGGATGTGCTGGAGTCTGGATGCCCCACAACCTGGAGGGGCGCCCCCGATAGTCAATAGGAGGCTCCTGACGTGTGAAAACATGTTCTGAAGGTGAAAAGAACCTCTTCAAGAACAGAAGTGTGTCCGAATTTCCGAAGCGTCACCACCGGGGCTCCTACAGCACCGGTGAGGTTTGAAAATGTGTCTTGATGACTAGAAAGACGTCTTAAGGAACAAAAGGACACAATCTTGAGCACACGTCTCGAGTGCTCAAAGTGAGTCCCTGGGGTCTGGCAATATGTCCAATGTTTAAAAGCACAGGCAATACCCGGACGACTCACCCTAAGATCCGAAAATGGTCCATCGGGCCAGAAGGACACTCTAAAAATAAATTGTGGCCCAAATTATGGAGAGGCGCTCTCGGGGTACTAAAAGGGTGTGCCGGAGGCCTGAATGTCACGAGGGCGATAAGAAGGTCCTAAAAATAGAAGGGCACCGTAAGGATCCCAGAGGAGGCCCTGGATGTCCTTGGTGCTTCGAATGGACGCCCATGGTGTTTGAATAATACACACGTGCTATCTTCGGGAAATTCAGGCTTCGAGACATGCATGACACAAGACACACAAGTTTCAAGACAAGACATTGCAGTTTCATAGGCTCCCGTGCGGCGTAAGGGAACTTGTGGCGCCTGGTATGACAAGGGAAATCGAATACGTCGGAGGATAAAACTCCCGTCTGTGTGCTGTCGGTAACTCAGCTTCATCGTGAACCACGCTGATACGATACAAAGATTCGCTCCCGCACGTCACGCTGAGCCTAACATTCTGGTAGTTCAGTGGGGGAATTCCGTCCCACCACCGCGACAACATGTGCCCTGGGGCTAAAAAATGGCGCATCGAGCATAGCGTGATGACAGAAAGCACACTGCCAGCTCAGGCGTCGCGGGGCTCTCTGTGCAGCCTTTGCGCTTCAAAATACAAAATAATACTAAATGATAACATTTTGTAAAACTTCACCTGCCACCCAAACCATGCGTTGGTGCCCCAGAAGCGGGCGGCGTCCCCCAAAGGATGATAGTATCCCCCTGCCACGGAAAGGCATTGCATAGTAATTTCTATCGTCGCTATCAGTAACGAGCACCTGAACTCTGGCCAGGACTGGGGAGAATGCAGAATGTGACGCGAGGAACCAGGTGGACAGAGCGCGACTAGCAGAGATCAATACTAATCATGCCGCGTCACAGCCCATCATCGACACCACCCTGACGTGTACCCGCCAACACATCACCAGGACAGGACACCGGGACGACGGCTGTCTCAACGCGGAGGAGGAAGAGCCGCCAAACAACGACGGTAGCATCCGAAACATCCTTTTGTCGATCATGCGGCACAGCGACGGCGTCCTCAAAAGACACATTGAGACATCACCAAGCAATGCGACCCACATCTCCAAATATGCCCAAATCGATGTACCTGACTGCGCCGCCACCTGCATCACAAATTGCTTCAGACGAACGGCGAGAGACAGCTTCTTCAGTGTACTGATGGGTGGAATAACTGACCGAGCTGGATGCAAACAGATGGCAATGGTACTTCGGTGCGCATCCTAGCAGGATGGACTTCGGGACATTCACGATGATCCTGTTCGCTTCGTTGGTCTGCTCGAAGAGATTGACACTTGCTGCTCCAAACACGACAACGAAGACGACGACGACGACGACAACGACGATGACGAGAGCGTGGAGGAAGAGGACGATGATGTGTACGAGACAAGATGAGTGAAGTCAACACCAGCAGTGTCATTCTGAAGAACATGCATACCCCGGATTGGTGAACGGCTTAAGGAATGTGATCAGCTGCGGGTTCGGTGGAGCTACTGCCATGGCCAGTCAGCTGTGGGGGCAGCAGCTGAGCTCAAACGCGACAACGACCTCTGCGAGTTTGTCACCGCTCGATGTATGTACTTAAGTCGTGCATCAGTACCAGCTGCAAGCAGCAAGACATTCGAGAATGGCTTGATATCGCAGGAGACATCACCACCTTAGTCATTCACGGAAAGCGCGGCAGAGCCTTGAAGAAGGTCAAGATAGTCGTGCCCAAAGAAAGCCGGGAGACGCTTATCACGCTCTGCGTTACGCGCTGTCTGGAGCGTCACGAGGCAGTGACGTGTATCTGCCAGTTGCTGCCAGCAGTGGCCCATTGCCTGACGAAGATGAGCGCGTTTTTCAGAAGCGCGGAAGAACGCGCAGGGACTGATGCGTGCAACCGCTTCTCCAGAATTTCTGACGGCACTGTAGGCGCTTGAAGCTGCGACCTCTGTGGTGCGACCAGTCGCCCACGCAGTCAAGGCCAATGGCGTGGACGTTTCGGAGGCTGCAGAACGCATCGTTATCTGCGTCAGGCTCCTGCAAGGATGGAGAGAGAAGCCAGGGGAGAAGTTTAGATTTGTGTTGGACAGGGTAGGTGAGGCAGCTATGTTTCTGCTTACGCCGTGAAAACTAATGGGATCGAGTCCCGTGGCTTTGTGTTATAGTGAGATCATTGCTAACGTCATTACGAAAAAACGCTTTATGGTCTCCGAGATATGTTTCAAACAATATTTTCAAAGCAAAGAAAAGTTGCAAGACCGCGAAACCGCTAAAAAGCTTTTTCGGAGTCCACAAATAGCGGACTGCCCATACGTCGAATTAAGCGCTATGCTTGAGAGCAAGTCTTTTGACCTCGGTGCATCAGCTGATTTTTTTAAAGGACACGTTGAATTATTTATTTTGACTCTGGTGAGCGTGTTGAGCAGTGGACAACGATCGGCCGGTTGTTTTTAGCCCGCTGGGACGTGTGCGGCGCTCTTCTCTTCAGCCGGGCAGCAGGTGCAGCGGCCGGCGGGGCCGACTGGCTGACCGGCCGCCGCCGCTCCAGAGAAGCTGATTCGGGTTATGGCAACGTTATCAGCTCGACCGGCCGCACCGTTCGTCGCTTTTCTAGAGCCTGATGACTGCTCCAGGAATAGCAACGGATTTACTGCAGTCGTGTTTAAGATGTGTATTTGACTTGTAACACGAATGACGCATCGATGTAAAGAGCATTCGATGTAAAAAGCATTCAATGCAAAGACAAAGACGAAAAATGCCATGTCATGTTTGTCCGGGGACGCCCATCTTCTCAGTTATCGACTAGTGCAACAAACTGCATGACAAGGTTATCAGTTTGCGCGCTCGCAATCTTAGGAGCAAGAACACCGATAGCCGGGGTGTAGTTTACCTAAAACCGAACAGCATTGGCCGGTGCAGATCATACCAGACAGCGGGCGGCGGGCGCACGAGAACGACCGGCGTGAAATAGTGCTTCCGAAAGTGGATTTATATCAATTCGTTCCCTTAGAAAATAAAACTGGGGTGTATATTTCACCGTTTTGATTTGGAGGCTGTCCTCTGAGCAGATTAGCAGTTGTAGCAATACGAAAAATAGAGATTATACCTTTGCTCTTCCAGTTTCATCACCAAATTCCAGCCCCAATTCCCGGTGCTAAAATGGCAATCCGTTGATTTTATAAATATGGCAATTGCACAGGTGAAATATTCATTAGAATTGCCTACTAAACGTACAAATTGGTGTCTTAAAGCGTCCAACTGCGCGTCTTTCTGATGCGTCATCATTTTTTCGTCCGGTCACTGACCGCCACTTTGTGTTAGCCGAGGGACTGGCGCCGCACGGCCAACGGAGATTGCAACGTCAGGTATCGGGGTTTGTTTGAATACTTGCGAGCGGGCATGTGCACAGCTATGTTACAAATATTTTCCCTCATCGATTCTGAATAAGGCTGCACATTCCCAGGCCAGCTTGGGTAGGCTAAGTTGGAACACATTTTTGACCGCATTATTTCGATCTACAGTCAGTGTTCATGGCGTCATCGACACCTCTGCAAGACCCAGAATAAAATGTTTGCGAAGTTCTTGCTTAAGTTTAAGTTCAAAGTTTAGGCGACTTGGCGACAGGTGGAAGTGTGTAATTAGAACGTGTTTGGGGGATCGGATATCGCCGTGTGCCCGTGTTTTGGCTCTTCGTCGTCGTGTTCTTGCACATAAGCCTGTGCTTTTATATTGTTTACTTGCATTCACCTGCTTGGTTATGGCGCTTTTCTTCTAAGTCTAGTCTAGTTCAAAGTTCTAAGTTCTGTCGGCTTAGAAAGAGTGTGCTCAGCTACCGTAAAATGAAAAGCGTCGGTGGTTTATCGTATTCAGTCCAATAGCACCCGCTTCCTAGATTTTATTGATTTCAAAATAGAAGCAGCATTGCATGTCCCACGGCTTCTGTTTCAAGGCCAGGTGAGGTCAGGGGGCAGGGTTTACCGTGCCGACCATTGTTGTTCGTTAAAATTTCGTCGAAAAGTTATACTGTTGACCAATTTTACAACCGGATGGTAATGTCGGATAGTTATAGGGAATGTTCCACATTTGAACACGTTGGGGAATTATCATATCAGATCTGATGAAATAATCTCTCTTATAACCACGGGTCTGCTTTTGTGTGTTGAAGATTGCCTTAGACAATTTTACTATTTAATAAATGTTATTCAATACCCCATCGCTTGATTACGTTATGGAACGTCGTTGTGACGTCATGTCGCCACCAGACTGGCCGTATCAGAATTGGCACTGTAGCCGACTGGCTGATTCACCTGTAATATTTCAACTTTTCGAGAGGTGGCGATGTGTTGCTGCAGCGTGTTTGTGGAACCGAATATCGCCACACGCTGTGTTTCAGCTCTTTCTCGTCGTGTTCTTGCATATAAACCCGTCACAAGTTATATTTGCTCGCCCCTTTGACCACCTGCTCGGTTGCAGCGCTGCTCTTAAATTATTCGATCTCCGGTCTTATCTCCGTCATGAATCGTACCACTGCCCAACTTCCCGTAGTACGTAGCACAAAACGTGAATCGTGTTCGAACCTTGCTCTCAACGCATTACATTGACTAAGGGCAGCTGAATCCTCAACGCCAAAAATAGCGCTGGCTTACGCCAGATAACTCGACGATCATATTTGTTACTGGCCTTGAGCACTACATGGCCAATGAGGTGCCAGTATTCACGTAATGATTGTATAGCATCATCCAAGCCTGGATGACCTTGGGATAGCCTGCACAACAGTCTCAACAAATTTACGCGTGTCAAGCTAAGCTACAGGGTTTTCAGTGTCAAGAGGGCAGGGCTCTGAAATGCACGAAATCATTTTCAAAATGGCCATCTCAGTTCAGAGCCCCTGCAGGTGTGGAACAATCACCTTAAAGAAGTTGAATATAAAGGCAAAACGGAAAAATCGCGCCGCTCGAAATCGAGTGGGTCTAATCCGGTGATTTGTTTTTTGGGGAAAAACCCTTTCACTATCAGGGACCCTTTCTCAACCCTGGGTCCCCCCCCCCCAATTTGAGTGATTAGAACCAACTGAAAGAAATGCGATAGGCATTGATTTCGGATGAAACTAAAGAGCCGTGGTCGCACCACCAGCGATCCCTGAATGGCGGCGATGGCGGAATGGAGAATAATTTTGATTATACTCTAGTCCAGATGACGCTGCCAACGTCTTGCCACAGCACTCGATATATTTATTTCTTGGTAGCATCAGAGTGTAGCCCTAACCTGCGACAGCTGCAACTGTCGCGACTGCCGTCGCCACGACAACTGGCGTCGTCATGACTAAGACACAATCCGCAAACTTCGTGCGTCGATTTGGTGGTTCAAACGCGTCGCTTTCGAGCTTTGGATGTACGGCTGGGTACGTGCAAAGACTTGACAATCTGCTAAGGGCTGTCGTCAGCAGCCACTGACTAGAGGTACTTCTTTTCAGCTGTTTAAACCCGCACATCACGGGCCTGAGGGCTCAAAATTGGTACCTCCATCAGTATGAATGATGCCTATACTAACGAGCCTTTGTGAGTCCCATGACGAACGCCCGAGGCCATTTACCAAGCATTGCTATGGTTGAGTTTTGAGCCAGCGTTGAACTAAAGAGCATGTCATACTCTGTTTCCCAGAGCCAGTGCGTCTCGAGAAAGGCCGCCGTGTTACAAATAGTTATTTTATCGAAGGTACATCCACGTAGGGGTTGTTCTGCGTCAAGTTGTACAACAAAAAACCCACACGCAGTACACAGAGATGCACATATTCGCATATGCGAAAGCAGTTTCAGTCAATAAGTCATTGATTTCAAGCTGTCAAGAATGCGCCGCGAGGGGGGCGCAGGAAGCCGGTTCCACGCGGCGGCGGCGCGGTGCGGAAAATGCCGCCGGGTGGCGGGCAGTCGGACGCGTGATAGATGAAGCTAGCCGACACCGCCCGAAACAGCCCGAGTTCGACGTTGGGAAGACTCGACACGCCTCACGAGTGGAGCACCCAGTGTAGTCGGAGATTCGGGGACGTGCAGTGTGGTCGCTGCGGTGGACACCATTCGCTAGCCTGGCTGCGAAGTGCATCGCCCTTTGCACCTTGTCTAGGTGACTCTCGGCCGCTCCACCCAGATAGACAGGCAGTAGAGTATGTGGCGGAGGGCATGAATTTGGACAAGGAGCTTCAGAACCTCAGAGTGAAGTGATGTCGAATTTTGAACAAGGGACACGAGGATTGCATTATGGCTCCGAACGTGAGAGGAGATGTGGGTTCCCAAATGGGTTGGTGGTCGAGGAGTACGCCCAGTGCCTTCACTGAAGCTGATGGATGGATGTCTGTGCTAAAGATGGTCATGTGGAAGTTGCCGATCTTTGTAATAGAGAGTCTGGTGCCAATCA